CTCGGTCTAGGGATGGCTCCCTACTGGGCAACCATGTTTCGTATTATTATGGACCTAGTAATTGCTGCCAACTGAGGAGTTTTAGACTGCTAACCTGGAGCAGTCCACGAATACGTGGTGTGGCCTTACGATCAATGACCAGGGTCAACGGCGGCGTGGTGTATTCCACAAATATGCTCGACTCTGAGGGCGGGCACAAGCCGGCGTGAGTAGGTTAAACGTTGAGTTTTATAAGGGCACCGCGGGGTGGCCAGCCCCTCCCCACCCAGCCCCACCCCCCACCCAGTCCCTCCCGACCCAGCCCCTCCGCACCACACCCCAGCCCCTCCCCACCCAGCCCCTCCCCACCCAGCCCCTCCCTCCCCTCTCCACCCAGCCCCTCCCTCCCCTCCCAGCTCCTCCCTCCCCTCCCCACTCAGCCTCTCCCTCCCCACCCAGCCCCTCCCTCCCCACCCAGCCCTTCCCTGCACGACGGACACAATAATCCCCTGTGGGCTGGTGTAACCAGGAGGTTCCTACCAGTACAATTAAAATCTGCCTTGCTACTATGTGACATCCAAACACTCCACTCCCTAACACTCTGCGAGTAATAGGGTAGTTATAAAGAGCGTAGAGGAGATCCCATATCTGGGCAATTTTCTAGTGTTTGGTAACACGAGTCTCATTCAGTCGAGCAGCCTTATATCTTTCCATCCAATCAATCGAGCAGCCTTATCTTTCCATCCACTGTGTAACACTACGCTGGCCGCGACGCTCCCGGTCTGCTTGGTCACAGTTATGCCCTCTCTGCCCTATGCTTACAAAACATGAAACAACCGGAACATCTGCGCCGGCTTGAAACATTCAGGCTGTCCTGCCTACTACCCATCCCAGGTTTAACCAGACTGGATTGTGCTCATCCCTGAAAGATCTGGACTGAGTCCCGTCTGCGAATTCCTCCAGCGGGCGAGGCTGCATGGCTTGGTCATGTAGCTCCCATGTCCCCCAGCCACCGCATGACCAAGCGGCTTCTATTTGGCTGGATAGAAGGGGCTACACAGGCACAACACGGGCGAGAGCCGGGGTCAGCAACCTGCGGCTCCAAAGCCGCACGCGGCTCTTTAAGGACTGCTTTGTGACTTCATTTATTAATGACCGTCTCGTATGCACATGCATTGCGGCTCTTGAAATATATAGTTTCTTACTGAATTCGAAAAATATGTCTCTTTCTTACTTTGGTTGCCGACACGAGGGCTCGAGAGAGAACTTGGAGCTGCATACTGAACCGGTACCAGCAGCGTCACGGCTGGCCTCTATGGCAGTGACTTCATCGCAAGCGATGCGGTGAAGTCACCACTGCCACTTCATTATGAATCGGAATGGTGGCTATTGTCCGAGTGCAGGGCGTGTTCGTGCGTCGGTCTGTGTGTGTGTGGCTGTGGGGAGCGGTCGGATAGTGGTTAGCAAATTGCGCCACGAAATCCGCTAACCTGAGTTCAATTCCCTTGTAAAGCAAACATCAATGGCAATTATGTGAACTGGTAAACGGGCCTCAGGTAGGTCGACAGACACTAAAATTAGTACCGGTGCGGTGTGTAGACATCCGTACTGGGGAGATAAAAGCACTCCAGAATGGTTCTGACCACGTCATTGCGAACAAGACTCGCATTAATAGGTGAACGCTAACAGTGCTTTTCTCAGCAGTCAGTTGGACATGTGGGGGATCTTAGCCTTTTTGGATGTTTGGGTTTGCATGCATGCATGCATGAGCATATGTGCGGATGTGTGAATGTGTGTGCAGTGCACCGATTAGCACGCTGTGCTACAATCTCGGCGATTCGAGTTCGATTACCGCTCACGGGCAACACCAGTGACAATTATATGAACCGGTCCTGGGCCTCCCCTAGGCCGACTCAGCCTTAATTAAGTAACCTGGTGCATCGTGTGAACATCGCCACAAGGGAGACAAAGGTGGACCGGCGTGGCCCTGGCCACCCAGCCCCTCGTGCGCCGTGCTGGCCTTCATAGGTGCTACTCGCCAACAGCACTTGCCCCAACAGTCTGTTAAGGCTATATGGGGGATATTTTTCTTTGCCTTTGCAGTTGCGCATGAATGTGGCCATATATGTCCTTATGGGGGAGTGGTAGTGCTGTGGTTAGTGCACTGCAATACGAGCCCAGCGCCACGCGAGTTTACTGCCCGCTTACAAGCAACAAAATTGCCGGCAAATATCCAAACCGGTCCTGGGAACTCCTCGAGATCGTCGCTGGTGTAAGCTTCAGCATTGGGGAGACAAAGGCGGCCGGGCGTGGTGTTGTCACCTACTGCCTGGTGTACCGAACTGGGCTAAACTAACGCTTGCCCGCAGCACTTGCGAAGCATGCTATGCGGGCGGGGGGGGTGGGGGAATGAATTTGTCTCTGTAGCAGCATTCTCATAACGCTCCACAATCCGAACCTCGGAGACAGCAACCTGGACCCAATCCCCGCCACCTGGTATCTACACCGGCCAGTTCCTCCCCCCCCAAGTCACGTTCACAGTGGCATCTTGTTCAACGTCAAAGGTGGCCAAGGTAGTTGTCGTCCTTCCACCCGCACCGGTGCTGGCCACGGCATCAGCTCGTGCGAGTCGACAGGTCACAGGTGCTCGCTAACACGACAGCTTCAGCGCCATTACGTAACGCTGTATAAGCGCTGGGGGTGGCGCGCGGCGGTTGGCACACCGAGCTAAGCCGGCAAACCCCGAGCAGGACACCAGGCTCCCGCGCCTCTCATCAATGCGCGCTGAGACAAGCGTGGTGAAGTACGGTCACATCAATGTCTCGTGACCCATGCGCACAGCATGAGAAGGCCCTCATGCAGCAGTGGAGCGAGGAAGGGCGGTACGTTGCATTTACACCGCAAAACGCGCGCAAAACTCTACCATGCCCCAAGGCAGCTGCGGTGACTCTTTATAAACTTTAAACGGATTGCGTAATGCGATTCCTCGCTGCCATTCTGATACCATTTATCGGAATGGAGGCATCGGCACACTTGGAGCAAAACAAGCAATAGCTATGGGCAGGGCCAGGATGAGAACCCTCAGACTTGTCACTATTCACTTCATAGACTCGAGGAATCCACGTTTTAGTATTGTCTGTACTGTCCGTCTCGTTTGTATTGTTCTATCTTGCTCATATGGTGCCTCGTTGATGTTGTGTCCACTCGCTTGTTCAGCATCCGATGAGCTATGAAGCTCTTTGTCAGTGGGGGCATGGGGTCAGAAAGTTACAACAAACAATACAAAAATACAATCGGAGTGCAAAGTAAAGGCAAGGTAAGAAAATGAGTAAAAATAAACTAAAACTAAACTTTTTTATTTTTATTTAATCAGGTTGTTATTTTACTAGGCGAGGTCCACTTAGCTATTAGTTATTTTTCTGGAGGGACCGGGCCACAAATGATAGCTCAACGAAGTGGCCCGTCGTGTGGAAACTTATAGCAGCCAAAAATTATAAATAGCTGCGCAACGAGGCATCGATTCACCATTTTAAAATAAATGATCACGCTCACGATTCAGAGACGGGTGACAGAACGGCAGCCGAAGGAGGCAACGTACCCCAGAGAGGATGACCAATGACCAGTGCAGATGTAGCAATGAGCTCCGCTCATGCGCAGGAGTGCAATGGAGTGCAATGGAGTGCGATGGATCACTAGTGCGGGTTGTAACATTGCGGGAGCGATTGGGTTAGGCCAGGGGTCGGCAACCAAAATAACAAGAAGAGCCATTTCTTTCCAATTCGGTACAAAATTCAGTATTTCAAGAGCCGCAATGCATCTGAGTACATACTGTACATACGTACATATCGTCAAGAAGCAGCCCGTAAAGAGCCGCATGCGGCTCCGGAGCCGTAGGTTGCCGACCCCTGGGTTAGGCCTTGGTCCAGAAGTGTCTAGACCATGGCTGCTGCTGCTATATGTTATGTTTAGGCTAATGGGGCAAACCAAATTGCATAAGCGACCCCCCCCCCCCCCAAAAAAAAAGTGACAAAAATAGAATGGAATCTGGAATCGAATCGCGACACCGAATCGCGAGAATCAATTGAAACTGGGGCGGGGTGGTGGTAGGCGGGGAGTGAATTATTCGGTGCCCATGAATACAATCTCCGTCGTAATCATCGCTACGTGGACAATTCCCCCGACTAATCTCTCTTCTCTCCACTCTCCTCTCTTTCCTCCTCTCCCTCTCTGTCCCAGCGCCATCTCTCCCCCCTCGCTCCCTCGCTGGGGAAATCTGGCTCGAATCCCCTGTCCGGGCTGCGATCGATTCGAGAGACGGGAAGGGAGGGGGAGTGATACTGTAGAACGTGGTGGTGGTGGTGGTGATGTAACAGAGTAAAGGTTGTGCCTATAAGGTGAAAGTGGAGTGGCACAGGGAACAGGGCTGCGGACTGTGGAGCACGGTGGCGGGAAAGACAGAGTGAGAGGAGTGAACACGTTGCTGGGAAGGAGAGAGTGTTTGTGGTGAGAGTGAGCGAGAAAGCGAGGAGCAATACGATGCAGAGGGGGGTATGAGAGAGTGAACGAGGGGACAGCAGGTGGACACAGCAGATGTAAGTGTGGGGGGGCGGTCACGCAACGTTTAGCGCGCTACGCTACGAACCCCGTAACCCGAGTTCGATTCCCGCTCGTGGCCAACACCGGTGACGATTATCTGAACCGGTCCTGGGCTTCCCTTAGGTAGACTCAGCCTCAAATGAATACCTGCTGCGATGTGTAAACATCGCCACTGGAGAGACAAAGGCGGCCAGGCGTGGTGTTGGTTACCTACTGCATAGTGTACTGAGCCGGCCATAACAGATGCTCGCTTGCAGCTTTTTCCCCATCAGTCTGTTAAGTCTACACGGGGGGGGGGGGAAGTGGGTTTCTTTGTCTTTGCCCTAATAAAAGCGAACCAATTGGCAAAAACGACTATACCGTGTACGAATATCATGCAGTGCGTTCACGTGACATCTGCAGCCATTCGAGGCCACTACACTCACCCAAGTATAAAGGAAACGGAATCTCTTCTTGCATCGAACTTGGGACGTGGAATCGCGAATACAGCCGCAATCTGATGGAGGGGTGGGGGGAAGGGGTGGGGGAGGGGAGCGGGGTGTCGCGCATCTCTTAAATTTGTGTGAATTATCCGAGCGCTGTGCATTTGTAGTGCCTCTTAGTGGCTGCAAGTGACGCGAACTCCTCGCACACACAACGCAGTGGTCATTTATAGGCCACCGGCCAAAGAAACCACCCCAGTCCTGTAACATAAACGTCTTGTGGCCAAATAGGGCAAGGACACCTGTGCAATTACGTCAATTGGGTGTCACCTTCATGTAGGCGTAGCGACACAGACTATGTTATCATATAATTATAATTACAATACAAAGTGATATGTGTGACATATTAATGTGACCGCATATCAAGACACTGTACAGATGGAGGGGGAATGTTGATTTTATGCAGAGGCAGGCAGTAACAGTTGGCTAAATTAATCTAGAGTGTCCATGTGGGTATATGCGTCTCTAATCGGCCTCTGTGGAGGAGGCTCGTGAAGGATGCTTCTGGGAAGTTGAAGGCAGTCGTCCTCCAGCAACAGCGGAGGGCAGAGGAGCAACACTCACAACTAGGAGCAGAGCGCTGGGCGGATAAAAGGCAGCAAGTTGGCAAATTAGGGGGAAAAGGTAGTGCAACTGCCAGTCATCTCAGTCAATGAACACATGGCACCTGGGTCTGACCTCCTGCCAGCAAGCCTTCGACACTTCAGAGAGTTTCCAGGTGCAACAAGCGTGGCACAAGTGTCATGGTGACCTCACCGCCACATTGTGGTGAGCGGCAGTTGTTGTGGTTGTCTCAATTTGAGACTATACGTCACTATGCGAGTCTATGGGCTTTTGATTGAGTCTTATGGGTCTATGTGAGAATGGGGTCTCTGTGTGAGTAAATACAATAAGGATTCATATAATAGATTTTCAGTGAGGCCACTTCATGATCTGAACACATTTTTAGGTTGCGCAACCCTCCGCCAGCCGACAAAACCAAAATAATTAAATTGTCTGGTGTAAAAGCGTTGATCATGCTAAATTTTTGTGTTCAAGCTCACCGGTAAGTTGAAGAACAATTCTCACATCCAAATGTAGCCGTCAGATACAGCGTTTAATTTGAAACTACGTCGAGCAACCTCAGGTCATTGATGACGCACCTCTCGGCCTACTTAATTTATAGAGAGATGCAGTCGGTTGTAGGCAGAGAAAGGAAGAGAAGTCTAGCCTGGATGTGAACAGGAGGCAGAAAGTATCCGGAACGGATGGCCGGGGATAAGGGCGTTTCAGACAATGGGAGCAGCAGAGAAGAATGAGCGACATGGCCATATTATACATTGCAAATGCGACAGCATAATCGAGGCTAACTCATGATTAAAATTGCTAACTCTAATTGTGATTATTCATTGAATCGTGTGCATGTGTGTGTCCAGTGACTGGTCAGCATATTTACGTATAGAATCTAAACAACTCTAACTAGAACGTAAATGAAAGTGTTATAACAAAACGAACACAGGGCATACGCTCCCAAGTGATGGACGCAGATTGAAATATACAAACCAACTATTCTGTACGTGCCTATGACCAAATTTCCTGGAATGTGCCCATTCTCAAGAGGTCAAGCAGGCTTGAGCCTGCGTAGTGCATGTATCTACGCTTTCTGCCTTCACCACAACCCGCATCTCAAGCTTAATTCCCTTCAATGCTCAATGCTGGCACAGCCTGCCATTGGGAACAGCCAATAGGAAGTTGGGGGGGGGGGACGGGGCGGAGAAGTCTATGCTATTGGGCAATTCCACGATCTCCGACGTAGTTTCAGACACTTTACGAAAACTGTGGGCATAATCGCCAAGTGTCTTTTGACTTGGGGACAGCACGTCGACCAATCAGGGCTGACTAGGTCAGATGCAAATCATCTGCCCAACCTTCCTTGCAAAATACGATGGCGTCGGGCATGCTGGGTGGGACAAATTGATTTTTTCTCATCCACGCTGGGATGGAGAGAGACGATAGATTTGAGCCGCTGGTATCAAACCGATGACTCAGGGACACACATTCTGAACATATCGGTGGTCACCTTCACAAGGACACTCACAACGTAATACGATAACAATTGCAAAACTTTGACTCCCAAAGGTTGCCCCAATCTGTATAACTGCTCCAATGAAATTGAAATGCATTTGACTTGGGACCCACGGCCGGTAACGGAGCTGCTAACACGTTAATATCAACGTTACATTGTTGTGTAGCATCATCGAATCGTACCGGTATAGACTACGATACACCATAACGGCACTTCTCAACACCAAACGAGAAGAGTGTACCGGCACTTTTCACAACTGTCCCTGCTCGTACGCCACGAAGTTTCCACAGAGGGGAACACGGGAGTAGGGGACATGGGCTGCAGGGAGAACTAGATCTTCATACCGGGACTTCTACATTTTTACCGTTAATTAAACCAACACGCACACACATTTAGTGCGTGTGTACTGGGTCACGAGGCAGCAGTTGGAAGCACCGCTTACAAGCAAAACGAGGAAGAAAAGCCTTGCACATCGCGCGGATTCTCTAGCAGTTTCCCAACGTGCGCACGTCCGCAGAAGTATTAAATCTGGCGACAATAATGCCTGCCGTTTCAAGCCCCCCCCCCCTGCAACAAGGTGACGTCACAAGGCACGTGACATGCAACACTTCTCGGCGATGTTGCACGTAACGGCGACATCACCTCTGCTGGCAACGTGAATCCTTTTGACGTTGGCCTTTTTACCGCCAGGTTATTGGCAACTCTCCGAATCAATGTGGGTTAAGCGCCTCATTGTAGAGCAACCTTATATACAACTTTATTATATTCTTGGTTCTTTCGGTAAAGTCACGTAGAAGGGAAATAATAAAAAAATATATAAAATAAAAATTCTCACGAATTAATATTTATATTAGATGTATATTATTTTATTACTTCCCTTCTACGTGACTTTACCGAAAGAACCAAGAATATGAATCCCTGCAGTCACGAAAATTTTAATCAAAATACAACTTTATTGTTAGTTCTTATTGGATCATCTTTACAGATGTATCTTGCCACCCTCCCTCCCCCCAACCACCCTCTCCAAATTTACAATTCTAATGCACTAACTTTAAAATGCAAATTGAGCAAAGGCTTTCATGACTAATATTATGATTCATAATTATTTTTTTTGGGTCAGATCTCAAGAGCACAAGGCCAATGTGTGTTGTACACCCTTCCCTACACTGCCAGACACGGCCAAATAAATAAAGTCGCTTTACCATGCCAGCAAGTTGAAGAGCAACCCATACGCATTCAACAGAGAGGCACGACGTTTCGCTGGCCACGACGTTCAGCATCGTCGGGCGATTTCCAGAGTTCAGCTATAGCAGTTTAGCTCTGGAACGTCATACACGATTGTTAAATTCTGTGGATTGCCCTTCAACATTGCTGTGTGGTGAAGCAATTCACATCGGCGCGCTTATTCAAGCGACAACTTTACTCATTCGACTGGTCGGGTGGAGGAGGGTGCGCAACACACATTGGCATTTCACTCACGTGATCTGGCCAAAACAAATCAACTATTAATTGCTTTCAACTGTAGCTGCATAGAGTATAACATTATTTTAAATCATAGGCGAGCTGTCCTAGCGCTCTTATAGAAACGTGCGTTTAAGAGCATTTGGCTGCTAGAAATTTCCACGTGATGAGCCACTTTGTTGAGCAATCATTTGTGGCCAGATCGCTTCTAAAAAAGAGCTACATAACTCATTGGGCCTGATTGGTTAAAAAAAGTTAACTTTTCTTGTTTAATTAATGCCAATGCACCGCCATTGTTTGTCAATCCACTGCTGGATGAGGGGCTTCCCCCCACCCCATACACCGTGTGAGTCATTGGTGCTACATGACCATACTTTAGCGCACAGGTCAATGGGGATTGGTAAAGGCTGTTGAAGAATAAAAGTGCAAGAGAGAAATAAACTGAGCTCGACTTCCCTCTGCTGCCCACCAAATAGAACCAGGCTGAAGTAAACGTGTAGTGCATTTTGGCCACCGACCTACGAACCGGGCTGGTTATCCGTCTTTCTCAGGGGGTTTGTAATGGCTCCGTCAGACACCGAGCTGGTACTTTTGGGTTCCTAGGTTCAATGTCTAATTTATCTCTCGCTCTCTCTCACAGAGAGAGTTCATAATGGTCATGTCAGAGACACCACGCATGCACCACAAATATTCCATGTTCATGTAAGAGGAACTTGGTCAACACAATTTGTATTGTTGGTTAAAACCAAGGGGGCGCTGCGGTGGAAAGATGCTAAATACCTCACCTGGAATACAGGTCATCGTTTCGATGCAGACCCTGACACCTGTATATTTGGAGTTTGCATGTTCTTTCTAGATTTGAAGCTTTCGTGACTGCAAGGATTCATACTTTTAGGTTTTTTCGGTAAAGTCACGTAGGTAAAAAATAAAATTTAATAAAAGTAAAATAAAAAATCACTACGTTTCGGAGGCAACACAAGCTTCCGTCTTCAGGTGGAACCGTCACAGCACGATTGCTGTATATATGTTTACGATTGCTGTATATATGTATTGCTGTATATATGTATATACAGCAATCGTGCTGTGACGGTTCCACCTGAAGACGGAAGCTTGTGTTGCCTCCGAAACGTCGTGACTTTTTATTTTACTTTTATTAATTTTAATTTTATTTTTTACCTACATGGTGACTTTACCGAAAAAAACCTAAGAGTTTGCATGTTATCTCCGTGGTTGTGCGCATTTTTCTCCAGGCCCTCTGGTTTTTCTCTCCACGTTTGGAATCAAAACGCGTTTAGAGTATTTGGCTGCGAAACTTTTCCACATTGCTAAGCCACTTCAGTGGGCTATCATTTGTGATCGCCAGTTCGCTTCTGCAAACAAACAGCTATATAGTTCAGTTGGGCCTTACTTGGTAAAATAAATATAATTTAATAGTTACAATTTATATATTTCGATGTTCATAAAGGCCATGTAAGGATTTCCTGAGCTGGCAGTGCTACAATTCTGAGTTCAAAGTCTAAATGTCTCTATCTCTGAATGGGTTCGTGATGAATGTGTTAAAATACTAAGAGCCTGCAACTAACCGATATCCTAGCTTTGAGCTCTTGGTCTGATCATGTCTCTCTCGCTCTCTTGCAGAGGGTTCAAAATGGCTATGTCGAAAACACGAAGCCAGCACTTCTGAGATTCTGGGATCAAGCCCGGGGTCTGGGCATCTCTCCATTTCTCGAAGAGGAATGGGTGGGGGAGCATAATGGTCGTCTCAGAGACACTAAGCCAGAAGAATTATGATGCTTGGTTCAAGTCCTGAGTATTGGCTGGGTATGTGGTGGGTGTGTGTATGTGTGGGAGCGGCAGTCTAGCGGTTTGCGCGCTGCGCTATTAAACCAGTAACCAGAGTTCGAATCCTGCTCACGGCCAACATCAGTGACGATTAATCTAAACTCAGCCTCAAATGAGTACCTGGTACGGTGTGTAAAAGCATTGCCACTGGGGAGACAAAGGCGGTCGGGCATGGTGTTGGCCATCCCGTGTGCCGTACCGGCCTTCATAGTGCTCGCTAACAGCACTTGCCCCAACAGTCTGTGAAGGCTATACTGGAGATTTATCTTTGTGTGCGTCTCTCTTTAAGTCATCTCAGTCGGTCAACCAATAATTAATGTAACCTTGGGGGCTCTCTCCGATGACCTGCCAGTGAGCCTTCGACAAATTTACGTGGCCTCAAGGTGCACCTAGGTAAGGCCTGAAGCGGCTGTTGTCAGTATTGATAAAAATGTACAAAAAATGTCGTGTTAAATATATTGGCCCCCGCGTACAATTGTCACTACCCGAAATTCATGAAATAAATAAATGAAAATCATTCCTGGCAAAGCAACTGAAACCGTGGCAAGCCTCGATGGAAGCGTTGTGGGCGGGGGGGATAGGAAGGATTTGAGGCGCGGTGTTGAGCGAGCGGGTTCCGACACGTTCTCGCACTGCGTGAAGAGAGAGAGGGGAGGAAAAAAACCCAACCCCGTACAGTCAGCGGCGAGATATTCTAAAATAATTAAACAACCCTAAATAAAAAATGAATTACTAAGCTGGCGGCAGCGGTGGTGGCAAGCCTCGGGGCCACGTGTGTGAGTGTGGGAGGGAGGAGATGGAGGAGGAGGGAGGGAGAGAGACGGGGGGGGACGGACGCAGAACGAGAGGGAGATGGGAAGGAGTGAGAGAGAAAAGCACGGGAGAGGGAGAAGTCATGCGGGCAAAGATAGCAGAGGGGATGTGCAAAGAGGGGGATATACGAGAGGAAGAGAGGGAAGATCCGAGAGAGAAGTGGGAGAGGTAAAGGGATGGAGAGAAAGAGAGACGGGATTGAGAGACGGAGGGGGATGGAGAGCGAGGAAAAGAAAGATTGTGGGAGTGAGAGCCAAGGGATGAGAGGGAACGTCGGCATGGGGAGAAAAAGGAAGAAGAGAGAGCAGGACAGCAGAGATAGCAGAGGGCGACGGGGGAGATGGCAGATGACACCGATTGAGAGGAGATGGAAAGGAGAGAAGGGAGGAGAGAGATTGTATAGAGACTCAAGAGAGTAAACAGAGGGAGAAAGGGAGAGTGGCGGGAGAGTAGAAACGCACCTTTTTATTTGTTAATTTACTTTACGTATCCGTGTTTCTGCTAGAGGCAGCGAAAGCGACGGGAGGAAGAGCGGGGTGAGAGAGTGGGTGGGTGGGAAGTGGAGAGACGAAGAGAGAGTGGGGAGGAGGGATGAGTGGGGAGGGATGAGTGGTGGTGACGAGGGAGTGGGAGAGATGCAGGAGGGATGAGAGTTGAGTGGGAGGTGAAATGGATTGTGAGAGACACAGAATAATGGACAGGAATCGAGACAACTCATCCAACAGACAATTGACCGCGCGCGAGCGAAAACACGTGGACCAGAGGGAGATCGAACCGAAGATGCGCGAGATAGAGAAATAGGGGGGACATGCAAAGAGAGATGAGGTCACACAAGTACGGCACAGGAAGACACAAAGGTCAGAGGCAAGGATTTACAGAGACAACACATACCGTGTGGCTCCGCTCACTGTGCGTGGGACGTGTGGTGGCGTCTGCCCAGGGAGATTAATTTCCAAAATTCATGGTAACGACACAATATTATGGACGTGCTTGTTAGCAGAGAGGGGACGCATTGAGCCGCATAAAGAACGAGATACGGACACACCGTGTACACATTGACGCTGAGACTGTGATCCAGTTGAGACATTGAAAAAGCATAAAAACACACACATTCACACCAACACGAGCACAGAGACATGCCTTCGGTTATAGACCCTAAGACAGAGAGCCACATATACAGGCCAGTAAGACACACGATAATGAAACACATTGATATGCAAAAAGACACGATGGGACACACTTATACACTTAGATACAGATGCAAAGACAACACGGAGATAGAGACATTCATGTTTAGAGACGCACAAAGCGAGAGGCAGGCACTCAGGAACACCAGGGTACAGACACATTAAGACGAAGAAACAGATCCTCCGAGACGTCGACAGTGAAACATTGATGCTAAAACACACCGAGATAGAGATACGCAGATAGAGACAATAAAATGATACAAAAACACACGCTTAGAGGGAAAGACACTGCGATTTAGAAACAGGAAAGAGGGTCAGACAGTGATGGAGAGGATGGAGATGAATGAAGGGGGGAGAGGCACGGGGAGATTCACGGCTAAAGGAAACGTAGACGCCGCTACATGTGACAATCCACTGCTGGATGAGGGCTCCCTCACGCCCGTGCGTGAGGGTGGTGAAGGTTATTTTGTGTACCATACTTCAACAGGCAGGTCAGTGCGGGTCGGTGACGCCATAGATCACACACAGGCACAACAAGATCACTTTCTGACCCGCCCCTGCCGGACATGTGCGATGATGAGCTTCATAGCTCATCGGATTCCTCCAGCACCGATTCGAAACATACGCAAACACATGTACTCACGTACTGAGAGTGTATCCACATTCACACACACACATAAAACACGTTAACTACCTACAAAAAAGAGCCCCCCGTGTAGCTTGAACAGACTGTAGGGGAAAGTGCTGTTAGCGAGCACCTATGAAGGCCGGCACGGCACACTACGAGGGGGTGGGTGGCCAGCACCACGCCCGGCCGCCTTTATCTCCCCAGTGGCGATGTTTCCACATCGCACCAGGTACTCATTTGAGGCTGAGTAGACCTACGGGAGGCCCAGGGCCGGTTCAGGTAATCGTCACTGGGTGTTGGTGGCCGTGAGCGGGAATCGAGCCCTGGTCACCAGGTTCGTAGCGCAGCGCGAACCGCTACACGACCGCTCCCCCCCACACGCACTCACCCAGACTAATGTTAATAATATTCACAAACGCACATCCACAAACCAGCACAACAGGTCGTCCCATTCGCACTAAGAAGTGACGTTGACGTAACCCCGTAGCGCTTCGTGCCAGGCTAGGTGCACTCGGCGACCACGTGATGCGTCGAAGGCCGACTTATCAGGTCACGGGGCAGGCCCAGGTGTTACGAGTTAACAAGACGACAGCTCGCACAGAGACGCGCGCGTTGTACACCGACACACACCAAACACGCGAAAACCACCACTCGCCGCCAAGTGGTGCTGACGTCACCGCGGCGCTTGTACCAGGCTAGGTGCACACACGCAACATACTCGCGCGGGAGACAAACACGACCGCAAGGAGAGAGCGCGCGCGTACACACACACACACAACCACCAAGCCGCGGTGACCACCGCGGCGACTGTGCCAGGCTAGGTGCACGCACACACGCACGCAACGTACGCACTCACCCCTCAATGCCACTCCTCGCCCAAAATCCGAGCGACAACCTCGTTCCGCTCGCTCAGCGCGGCGTGAGAGCGACGCGGCTGTAGAGCGAGGCGAGAGAGACAGAGCGAGAGGGGAGAGAGATGAGAGCGGGAGATTCGTTCGTGGAGCTGGAATCGCGGCCCTGCCTCTCTACGCGAGCCGCGCCTCACGCCATTGTCGCTGGGCAGACAGGGGGGCGGGGCCTCGTAGCGGAACCGGACGTGACGTCACCGGAAAGGGCGTTGATTCGAGAACTCACTCGCTCCACCCCCTACTCCGCCGCCGCCGCGTGCTTAGGGGGGTAGGGCTTGTGATCGAGAAGGCGGGGCTTGTGTGGGCTCTGTGGGCGGGGCCTGGCTTTCTGTGGGCGGAGTTTGTGGATCATCGGGGGGCGGGGCGTATGACGGTGTGGGCGGGGCTTGAGACCTAGTGGGAGGGGCGTGTGATCGAGAAGGCGGGGCTTGAGACCTGGTGGGAGGGGCTTGTGATCGAGAAGGCGGGGCTTGAGACCTAGTGGGAGGGGCTTGAGATCGAGAAGGCGGGGCTTGAGACCTAGTGGGAGGGGCTTGTGATCGAGAAGGCGGGGCTTGAGACCTAGTGGGAGGGGCTTGTGATCGAGAAGGCGGGGCTTGAGACCTGGTGGGAGGGGCTTGTGATCGAGAAGGCGGGGCTTGAGACCTAGTGGGAGGGGCTTGTGATCGAGAAGGCGGGGCTTGAGACCTAGTGGGAAGGGCTTGTGATCGAGAAGGCGGGGCTTGAGACCTGGTGGGAGGGGCTTGTGATCGAGAAGGCGGGGCTTGAGACCTAGTGGGAGGGGCTTGTGAAAATGTGGGAGTGGCTTGCGGGCGTGTGGGCGGGGCTTATGTTTGAATAGGATGGGGGTTAATCTTCTTGGTTCTTTCGGTAAAGTCACGTAGAAGGGAAGTAATAAAATAATAAAAATAAGCCATAATAAAATAATTCTCACGACGTTTCGGCCACAAGGCAAGCAGCCGTCCCCCGACAGACCTGGTCTTCACCTGAGGACGGCTGCTTGCGTTGTGGTCGAAACGTCGTGAGAATTATTTTATTATGTTTTGTTTTTATTATTTTATTACTTCCCTTCTACGTGACTTCACCGAAAGAACCAAGAAGATGAATCCCTGCAGTCACGAAAGCTTTAAATCGAAAGGATGGGGGTGGTGGAAAAGTTGCCCGCATTTGGGTCAAACGGCTTGAACTTTCAGCGGGTTTTGCACTTAGTTCGCCACTTAAATCTGTTGTAAGTGGGTAGGGGGGCAGAGAAACAAGTGATTGAACAGCGACACTGAGACTGCACGAGGAAACCAACAAAATACATATTCATAAATTGGACCAAGTTTGAAAAAAATACTGTACCCGCGAGTTTCTCTATCGGAATCTCCAGTAACGTCGTACATAGCAGTCATCGCCCCCTACTGCCATAATTTGGCAGGACCCTCCTAAAAAATTGTCATTCGACTGAGTGAGGCTGTCATGGGTAAACAACACGAGGGGGTGTGTGGCCAGCACCACGCCCGGCCGCCTTTGTCTCGCGAGTGACAATGGATACACACCGCACCAGTTACTTATTTAAGGCTGAGTTGACCGAAGGGAGACCCAGGATTTGTTCAGATGATCGTCACTGCTGTTGGTGGCCGTTCAAGGGCAACTGCTCATCGGATGTGAATTTCACAACATTCTGTGTAATCTTTCAAAAACTCGTCTCCGTAGTGCTGGATTACAGAGCCATGCATCGCTACCACTGCCCCGAAATAAGACATTTTCCAATCAGTGCACAATACCTACTATCCAATATGGATTGGAAACACGGATATACTGACAGTGAACTTGAAACAAAATCTGACAAGGGCACTAAACCGCATTGTGGAGGTGCATGCTTGGAAGCATGCAGATAAATAGGAACCCATGGATTTGTTCGGGCAGGACCCATCATCATTGAAAAATGTTGACACTCCGACTGATGCTCCTACTGTTGTGGAGTCACTCATGCAGCCAGCTATGGCTGCAGAGTTTGGTAGTACATGTTGTTTACGTCGTTTATTGTGAAAATTCGGTCACAGTTCCCATGACCACTGTTTCATTGCTTTTATGGCTTTATTTTGGTGATTTTCGAAAAGTTTTTCGGTTTGGCCATGTTTGTTTGTTGTAGTACAGAGTTAGACTGATGGCCTTAATTTAAGTTGTCTTGTGGTTGTTGTTGTTGTTGTTTGACTTGCATCCCACTGGGATTTTTGCACATTTTTGTGTACGGTGCTTTTCTGCAATATTTTGTGTACACGTGATCGGGTGGCTCAGAAGTCGGCGTCGACATCGCTGATATGGGTTCGAATCTTGGCTTCGGTCACGCGTGATAAAACACATAATTAAGTATACGGCAACAACTGCCCAAAAACAATCGCATTAAATGTAAAATTAATTTTCATTCTTGCAGAATGTGAGGTTTAACCAAAAGAATTTCATTCATGAAAATCCGATGAGCAATTAAGCTCTTTTTACACGCTTTTATTGAACTCACTGTCTGTTGTTGTTGTATCCTCAAATCTTGTAACTCAACTTTAACCCACTTCCCAATGTGCTATCTACTGCAAACTTCGTATACTTATGTCTTACTGATGACAATACTATATTCTATCATTTAAAAAGAAAAATATATATTTTTAAACCATATTTTTTTATATCTTATGTTTCGGCTTGGGTCTTATTGTCCACGCTCAACTAACGTTGGCTGTAAATCACCTCGGTCCCTTACGTTATGGCAAGCTTCGGGGCCACTTCCTGGAGTCGTGGAGTTCTGCCATTACTCGGACGATACATTTAATTAAAGCGTGTTTTTAAAAAAAGTTTTTTTAAATATTACTGATTTCACAGATGTTCCAGTTTAGGTGGGTCAGCATGCGACAACCACTCATTCCAGGGCATCACAAGTGCACAAGTGATAACCCTGGTGTGGATACAGAGGGCACATGAAGTGAATTTCGAGGTACCATAGAACTCCGATGACGAACCCAGGGTGGTGCACAATAGACGTGCAGAACTACAACACCCCCCCCCCCTTCAGTCAACTGATCGACGGCCACCTCCCCACAGCGTGTGGGCTATTAGACCATACTTCACCACACTGGGTCACTGCGGGTTAGTGAAGGCGAGGAGCATAGAAGCACAGCCCAATAATGGATTTTGCTGCAAAGCCCTCTCTCTTTACGTCACCCAAAAGCCTGTTAACACCTGTTTATCGTGGTCACCCCATCAAAACACTATTCATGCCCAACCCTGCTTATGTTCTGAGATTAAAACAAAAATTTGATCAGGTCCAATCTGGGTGTTTTGTCAATCGGTGACTTTGTCTGATACTGGGGACATAAGTCAAAAATCGACAACAAAATCATGTCATTCACCACTCTCCTGTTGCTCTATTACTTGAGGTCGCCTTGACAAATAGCAGCCTCCCGAAGGCAGGAAAGCCCGTACAAGCCACGCCCAGTGTGACCCAGCTGCTGGTGGCGTCACCAAGCCCCGCCCTTCACCTCCCGTCCAGCGGCACACGCGGTCACCAGAAATCAGACTTTTTGTCCCCCCCCCCCACACATCCATCCACTCGCCCAACTATTTGCAAGCTATCTGATTAAATGTAACTGGTAAATCGGTAGATGAATCATTTACTCAAATAAACCAGCTCTAATTTTGTTACATAATACAATTAATAAATAAAGAGACACATTTTTTTTACGGGAGGGCGTTTCAAGCGGTACACAGAGACTGCCAATAGAAACCTCAACAACAAAGACAAAGATCCCCCGTATAGCCTTTTAAAGACAATTGGGTCAAGTGCTGTGAGCAAGCGCATATGAAGGCCGGCGCGGTACACGATGAGGGTTAGGTGGCCAGCACCACGCCCGGCCGCCTTTGTCTCCCCCAATCGCGATGCTTACACCACCAGAACAAGGTACTCATTTGAGGCTGAGTCGACGTTAGGCAAGGCCCAGTACCGGTCCAATAGATCCCCCACGCAAGGCAACACACCGTGCAAGAATGCAAAATGCACCTTGGTTTATCCCACAAAACCACGGCTCCCTCCCCCCCATTGGGGCAGTAGTAGAGACCACCTAGAGAGCCGAACTGCAGCACCTAACCCTTGAACCCCAGGGAAGACATCCAATGGGACAACCTGATTGGCTATTGCCATGGAAACCTGTACCCCCCCTATTACCTTAGCCTTGTACATGGGCTGCCAGACCTTAAAGGGGCCCTGCACTGTCAGCAGATAAGGCAAAAGTGTGCAAATTTTTTTACGTGTGGAGGCTTCTTTGAAATTTGGACGGATTTTAGTCTCCGTGCCCCTTTTTGCCGTGAGATAAGGGATTGGGAGCCATGTTTAGAAATATATGTTTTAACTGTATTGCATCCCTCCCAAAATAACTCTGTTGCACTGAAGATAGAGGGATTTTGAAACTGCAATTCCATTTAAAAGTCAACTGGGGCTGCTTTCCACGGGCTAGAAGTGTGGACATGTCCTCTTTGTTGTCCATTTCCTTTTGACAATCGTTTATAACAATTTCGCCGGGGGATGTTACAACATCGGAGCAGCAGCAGCGCAACCATTCGTTTTAGGGAACAGCTTTCAAGTGACCTATACTCCACACAATAAGGAGGGCACCACTCCTCCCACCCACTCTTCCACCCACTGAGGATAATTCCCGTCACATGACAGTGTCAACCCAATATTTTAATGCTCCGAGCTGGAATTTTTGCCAGAAAATGCAGTGCAGAATTTGTTTGAATGTGATGGGTTTTTGTTTGTGCAGTCCATTGGTGAATGGGATTATATGACATAAAATCACTACACTTGAGGACCTGGTTTAATCACAGGCGGCTGAAACGCGGATTTGAACCCCAGATCCGAGCCGTGTTCGTTCAGCATTTTTGAGCTCTGAGCCACGCGGCCACCTAAGGTAGTGGTGAAAAAAAGTTAACCCAACAAAACACGAACTAGACTTGTACGGCCCTTTAAACTACTAAAACTAAACTTTCAAAAATATTATACCAGGTCAGGTCCATAGCTATTTTTCAGAAGCGACCTGGTTACAAATGATAGCTCAACAGTGGCTTATCATGTGGAAATTTATAGCAGCCAAATACTCTAAACGCATGTTTTCTAAATGTGGAGGAAAAAAACCAGAGGACCCGGAGAA